GCGCCCCCCTCCCACCCGCCACCGCTGCAGCCAGAGCGGGGCTCCGCGGGCCTGGAGCACGGCCGGGTCTAATATGCCCGGAGCCGAGGCGCGATGAAGGAGAAGTCCAAGAATGCGGCCAAGACCAGGAGGGAGAAGGAAAATGGAGAGTTTTATGAGTTGGCCAAGCTGCTACCGCTGCCTTCGGCCATCACCTCGCAGCTGGACAAGGCGTCCATCATCCGACTCACCACGAGCTACCTAAAAATGCGCGCCGTCTTTCCCGAAGGTGAGGCCGCGCTGGGCGGCGGGGAGCGCGCTGGGCGGCCCGGCGGCCTTGGCCCAAGCCGGGAGCTGGAGCTGGCCGGGAGGGCCCGCCTCAGCCACCCCGGCAGTGCCAGGGGGTCCTGGGGAGGCCGCGCACGGGGGCTTTGGCGCCTGCTCGAGAGAGGGGCCAGGACCTCGGAGCCCCAGAGACCAGACCATCCCCTGGGCCAGGGGCGAACCAAGAATTGTTCTACGAGCGTGCTCGTCCGTTCTGGCGGCTTGCTTTCCTTCCTTCTTTCCTTTCTTCGTTTCTCTAACTACTCCTTTTACTTTTTCCTTCTTTCACTTCTCTCTTTTTCCGTGGAAGAGAAGCATGTGCACTCCTGCAGGGGGTGAAGGGCGCTTGTAGCTCCCAGCTGAACTAGCACGGAGCGCACAGGCCTTAGCCAGGAGCGGAGCTCTTGTGGGGGCGCGAGCCTCAGACTCGGACCTCTCTGGCCGCCTGTTCTCTGCTCGCCTCCCTTGGGGCTGGGTCTCCGGAGGTCAGGATAGGAGAGAGGACGAGTCAGTTAGCCCAGACCGGGCAGGAGATAGCGGGAGGCGATTAGTTCAAAAATGGCAGGCGGGCCTACACACAGTCTTTTTTTTCTATTTGGAATTATAACCCCAAAGGGGCAGGTGCCATGGTGGGCAAGGGTCTCCAGGACCAACAGGTCCAGCGGACTCGCAGTGGTAAGAAACGGTGGGGTGTGTGGGCCGCAGTCCCCGCCAGGACTCTGCCTGTGAGTCTGTGGCCAGGCCAAGCACTTCTGAGCAGCAGAGCTGGGGGAGGCCTGGTCGCCACAGCGTTTGCTTTTGGTGTGCCGGTGGTTTCGAAATGATCTCCTTGCAGTGTCTCTGTCCCCTGCTGGGGTCGCTGCGGCCTGGTGCCAGAGATTGTGACACTTGGCCTGATTGTTGCCCTAGGACCTCCGGGCCTAGGATCCAGAGGGCCACATAAGCCTCTGCGGCCCCAGCAGCTAGCGCCACAGTAGGGGGACAGCTTCAGCCGCAGGACACGGGAGGGTCTCTGCAGTGCAGCTACAGGTGTCCTTCAGCTGGGGGACAGCGTGAGGAGGGCCTCCATTAAGCCAGTCCCAGGCCCAGCGACCCACCTACGGTCCGTAAGCTCACTATTTTGCAGTCGGCAGTGCTAAGCCTGTTATTTGTAATCGTCTCTCCGGGTCTGGAGCCGCATTTCACACCACTTCGTGGAGCGGAGCGGGGAGGGCCCGTTTGCCAGCCGAACTCCAGCTCTGCCCCACAGCTGGCCGGGCAGCCCAGGGTGCTGGAAGCCGTGGCCTGGCCTCGCCTGTGCCTCCCAGCTGGGCCGTGCAGCCTCTGGGCACTTTTCTGCCCGGAGCAGGAGCCTGTGGCCTGTCCGCCAGGGCCCAGCACACATTCTTTCCCCGTCCAGTCCTGACCAACCGAGGTGCCCCCTCCTCCAACCCCTCTCGCTGGGAGCTGTCATCTAGTGATCACTATTAGTCCACCAAAGAGTGACCCCTCCACTGGAGAAGCAGAGATGATTCCTCTGCAGCTGAAGTTTCAGTGAAAATTGAAAGAGAATGAGGTTTGATACTGGCCGAATCTTTTCCACCTGGGGAAGGAATGGTAACTGGTTTGCTTCTCTGAGCTGTTTCTTTGTCCGAATGCTACAAAGCAAGTGTGGACCCAGACAGGACACCCACCCACCCTGCCCCCATTGGAAATAAAAACATACAAAGAAATGATCTGAAGATTATACGATTTGTTGCTGGTGATTTCAAATAAGCCAGAAATTAGTTAGACAGGGAGGTCTGGAGAAAGCTAATTGTAAGCCATACGTTGTTTGGCGGGTTTTCCAGGGAAGCCTGCTCAAAATTGGGAAGTGATGGGTGGATTGCTTCTGCAGATATTTAAATTAGGTCTGTGCTTCTAAGCTCTGGAAAGCAAGTCTCTAGACGTTTGGGCTGAGAATTGCTTGGCCCTGAGCCTGTTGCAGGAGTGGGCTGGCTGGGGGGGTCCCAGCCTGAGCACCAGGACCCTGTGTTTTGCTCAGTAGTGTCTTGATTGAGAGGTGGCCTGTGCGTCTGCAGGATGACCATCAAGGTTGAACCTCTGGAAGGGTCTGAGAGGGAGCTGTTTGGCCCTAGAGTTTTGGAAAAGGCCCTGAACCTGTGAGGTCCCTATCTACAGGGCACGTGGAGGAGGTGGCAGTCCAGTCCCAGGCTCTCCCGCGACCCTAGAGCAGGCGGGTGCTGGCTTGGTGGGGGAGGATGGACAGACAGACCGACTCCGGACTCCTCTTTGCACTCAGAGGCCTCTGGCCTGTGGCTCTGGGCGGTGGCACCATTTCTCACCTAAGCAATCTTGGCGAGGAATTGTGAAGCCCCAGTGCCAGGTGAGGCGAGAAAGATGCGTTTAGAAAGAGCTCAATTAGGCAGAATTACTTGCTCGCCCCTCTGGTAGCTCCCAAGGGCAGGGCGCGGAAGCGGCATCGTAATTGATTTAATCTGTTCCCGAGGACGGGGGCGGTCTGCGCCCGGCGATGTGGTGCGGGATTGGGATGGGGCTTGGGAGAACCGCTGGGGTCGGGGAGCCAGCGTCAGGCAGGTTTTAGGGCCAAGGCCATTCGGGCGGCGGCCAGAGCTCCCGGATCTGCTGGCCTCTCGGCTGCGCATGGAAAGGTGCGGGGCAGCACAGACGTGCCAAGGGCGCCCCACGACCCTACCGCCCCGGTTCCACTGCCCCGGAGCGGGCAGGATCCCTGTGTGCAGAAGGACTTAGGATTTGGAGAGTCAGAAGAGAATGCACAATCCGAAGAAAGCACAGGAATCACCAGGCTAAACCTCCATACTTGAAGAAATCGAAGCCAGAGAGGGGTGGGTTTTCCGGAAGGTCCCACACCCTGGGCAAGAACAAGGGCGGCTGGGGCGGCGACCTTTGTGCCCCCGGCTCTCCCGCTGGGCAGGAGGGGCTGTGGGCCTCGCTTCTTTGTCCAGAGTCTCCCTGAGGCAGGAGGAGAGAGAGAGAAACCCAGAAGGGGCCCCCCACCCCAGGAGCAGAGAGAAGTGACAGGAGCCAAGGCAGAACACTCCTGCCTAGGCCAGTCTCTACTCCTGGGGCTGCTGGCAGTTCTTACAGCCTTTCAAGGCTCTGCTTTGCCGCCAGACTTCCATCTCCGTCTGTAAAATGGGCACATTAGCAACTCCACGGCTGGGGCGGGTGTGAGGGACCAGGCGGAGCAGGTGGAAAGCTAACGTGTTCCCACTCCAGTCACCGCTTCCTGCCAGGTCACCACGCTTCCCCGGCCACATTCAACTTCCACAGCGGAGGGTCTCACCCAGGGGACCTCTGGGACGCAGTCTGCGCTGAGACTGGGAAGACCCACTGTTTTCTAGGTCCCCACGTTTTCTCCCCTTTAACAGCAAACTCAGAAGGGAGAGGTAGATGGGCAGGGAAGAGCGCAGACGAGCAAGACTGGCTTTAGAAGTGGACTCAGAATTGAAAACTTGGTGCATGAACGGATGGTTGGGAAGGTAGGTGACCGCTGGGGCCCAGGCCGGCGGGCCCTGTCTGCGGGGTGGCCTTCCCTTCTGGGGAGGGCGCTTAGGAACCCCTGAAGTACCCTGAGAGGCCGGACTCTGCCGCTCTCTGCCCATAGCTTCATGGTGACCACCCCAGGCAGGACTCAGGCCAAGTTCTGCCATCGCTGGTCAACACTGGGCTTCAGGAGGTCAGAAGGGCCACAGGGGCTGGGGTCCCCGGCCAGCCTTGAAGGTTAGGCCCCCTCCTAGGAGGACGGAGAGGTTGGGGCACCAGCGGAGGGGCAGGGTGTGGAGTCCCTTGCTGGCCCTCGCACACAAAGGGCTGGCAGGAGGAAGTGGCCAGATGTCCCAGCTCAGGAATGGAGTCGGAAACTGAGGCTGATTCTGGAAAGGAGAACAGAGCTCCACTTCCCCCACCCCTGGACCTGAAGTTCCCAGACAGGTGCGAGTGAGCGATGGGGAGCGCCTAGGACATTCATCACTGCCTTTTACTGAAAAAAAGCAAAAACATTCACGCACAATGTGAAGTGGGGTTGGAGGCCTGCATTACTCCAGAGGTGGGATTTGTCTGGGTGCGGATTCAAGGAGGGCCTCCCCTCTCAAACGCAAGTCCACGTCCGAGGGCCTCGGGGAGGAGGAGGGCCGCCCCAGAAATTGTGCGGAATGGAAAGGCTTCGACTTAAGAGGGTTTGGTGAGGACAGATCCTACATCACCGAGGGGTTACAGGCTGAGGCCTTTCTGCACTGCAGCCCAAACTAATGTAGATTTTAAAAAGGTAGACTCGTTTTTTAAGAATAATGTGGATTTTTACAACCCCCTCCCATCTCTACTTGGAAGCCTGCCAGGCTGTGCCCCCGGGTGCAGGGGGGAAACGCCCACGATGGTGAATCAGCCTGCTCTGCTCTGCGCAGTGGTGAAGGGACATCCGGGCATGTGGGGCTTCGGCGGTTCCAGGCGAGGAACTGGAGCGCGCACGCGCCACAGAGTCAGTCCCCAGGAGGCCGGCGCCCAGGACACGGCCCGGGGTGCACCAGGGCGCGCAGAGGAAGCCTGGCTCATGCGGCGCTGTGTAACCGCCGAGGCCCCATCTCATCCTTCAAGATCTGAGCATCAGGCGGTGGGGCGCGGGCGCCTTGCGTCCGTCGTGTGAGCACGGGTATCACTGGCCAGCAGCAGGGCAGGGCCAGGCTGCAAGACCCCTCTGCTCCTCTGCCCAGTCGTGCGTGCAAGGCCTTCTTGGGGTGGGGCGCCCCAACCTACAGCTCCCTTCGCACCTCCTCCGCGGCCTGCTGTGTGACTTAGGTTTGGAAGAGGCCGCAAGGGCCGGCTTTTCAGGGCCGCGGGCGGGGAGTCGGGAGGGAGCGAAGCATGCCAAGGCCAGACGACTGAAGTGCGCGGAGGAGCCTCAGCCGTGACAATTCACTGGGGTCCAGAGCCGAGGCGGGAGGTTTCGAGGCGCCAGCTCTGGACTCTCCTAGACCAGTGAGGCGGGATCGGCCCCAATCTCTCCAAGTTACAGCCTCGCACAGGCTCGTGGTGGCCCGGTAGCCCCAGAGAGAGACTCCGTGAGCTTGCAGACCCGCGGGTGGTCATGCTCTGAATTCCGGGTCGTAAACGCCGGTGGGGGTGACAGGCGTTAGATACTGACTTTTTTTTTTTGCATGGGGAGGAGATACCGCAGTGGGGAAGAGGGTCCAGCAGCCAGGCTGTCCTTATATCCCCCTACCCACCCCACATCCATACCCTTCTTGACACTGAAGCGGTTTGCAATCAGGGAGTGTGCCCTCGTGTCCTCAGATGGCCCACAGGGTGGGAGAGGACATGCCCTCTCCTGGGAGGTGGGTAGTAATTGAGAGTGCAGCGGGCCGGACAGCAAGCAAAGTGAAGACTGGAGCATGGTGGTGGCAGCCATGACAAGTTTCAGGCCTTGGACGGACGGGCCTGCGAGTTTAGCTCATTTAATCCCCAACAACCCCATTTTAGAGGTGAGAAAGAAAGGTTGGCAGTCAGGGCACTGGCTGGAGATCAGACCGTCCAGCCCCCAGAAGGTCTGTTGTGGTTTTTCACAGTCCCAGATCCAGTTTTCCATGGAGGGGCTGGGGCAGGGTCTGGCTCCATTATTAACCCCATTTAATGATCACAAGACCCCTGTGAACAGTGTTTTTGTTGCTGGTTTCGATACCGAAGTTTGCCCTCCGGACCATGTGAGAGTCGCTGTCCATCCTGGGACTTTTCACAGCCCAGATCCTTTCTCCCAAGCTGGACCCATCGGCCACTGGCCATAGCGAGCCTTGCTCCTGAGACCAGAGGAAAAAGCAAACCAGCTGTCTCCTTTAGGTCTCCGCTTATGTGTGTCCCATCATCTGAGAGGGGGGCCTTACCTCACAGCGAGGAAACCCCTCCACTGTGTCCCCTTCCCTGGGAAATCATCTTATTTGTGAGGTCCCATGTTTATGGTCTGTGACCTGCGCCTGAAGGGCAGCACCCAAAGGTAACCCCAGGGCCTGGATGGGACACAGCAGGCACTCGGGGCTGGTTATCACTGACTAACCGAGCACCTAGGGAAGAGGGCCCATATTTAGATAGCATCTATGACAGGAGGGCCTGCAGTTTAAGCTGAATGGCCCGCTGAGTGTGAGTACCAAGATGCAGGTACCCACAAGCCCTGGAATGCAGAGAGGGAAAGGGGGGTCCCTGGCCCCTTACCTCTGACCTGGTGCCTGACTCCCATGACCTGGCCATCTGGATGCCCAGTAGCAGGAAGTCCCCAATGACACATGTAGGCCCAATGGGCTCTCAGACTCCTGTGGCTGGGAAGCCACGGGCTGGGCTTGGGACTCCCCAACCTCTCCCCTGCAGTCACTGAATGGGGCGTCCCGGGATCAGGTGGAGCAGATGGCCAGTGGCTAGCCCCCTGGAGGAGCTTAGCCCGAATGAAGTCCTCTGCTAGGCCAGGTAAGGGCCACAGGCATAGTGCCTCACTCTTTCAGGAGTATGTATGGCTTACAGTACCAAGACAATTTTTTTTTTTTTTTGGTTACAAATCTTAATTTATTTAGTCTCTACGTTCAGCCCAAAGTAGGTTTTTATGGGCAGAGTGAAAAGGCCTCACCCACAGCGGTTTCTAATGGAAGAGCTGGCAGCACATCGCCCCTGGGTGAGGTGACATTAGGGTAGGGATGCTTGAGGAGAATCTCTCACCACCCCTACCGCCTCCTGTTAGGTCAGAAAGGAGTGTTTGCACCGAATCTCCTCCAGCAAAACAGAGGCTTCGAGAAATTATAGAAATAATTATAACGATATAAGAAAACAGGCGCCCTTGAAATATCCAGGTATTTAAATTACACGGAAATCGTCCCATGTACCAAATGCACTTTTGCATTTGAGGCCAGAGCCTTCAGCAAGGCTTACGGGAGAGCCAGGCAGACGAGTCTGTGCTGGGGGTCATTCCCAAAGGTACAGATTCCCCCAGGTCACTAGGACAGACCCTTTGAGAAGCCAGGGCCAGGAGGCCATGCTCACTTTCCCCACCCAGCTAGGCAAAGGGGGTTTGGCCCAAACCTGGGAAGCCACCTTGGAGTGAGGTAGAGAGCAGTTATTCTGTCCATTTTCAAAAATTGGAGTTCCTGAGTCTTTTTTAAATTCTTCATTCAAGCCTGGCAGCTGGCGGGGGGGGGGCACTTTTAAATTTTGGTTCTTTCCATTTCTGATTAAGTGGAATAACGTGGGCCACCACCAAGCCAGCTGCTTGGATGTTGGGGAGAAAGGACTTTCCCGTGGGAGCCAGTGGCATGCTACTGTGTGTGTGTGGGGGGGGTGTCGGTCACTGTGGTCATCCTTGAGAGCCAAGTGGGGTGGGCAGTGAGTTCCTGGGGTCAAGGAGACACCTCTGTCTCCACGATGGTGGTTTAGGTTCTGCAGTCACATTGGGGAGATTGGGATGTGCGGAAATGAGCCACTTCCTTCTGGGGAGGCCACGATAAGCCCCTAATTTCTAGAGCCCAGGAAGATAAATTAGAGGTCGTCTCTTTTAGCTGCGAACAGAGTTCACTGGGAAGGGTCTCTGAAGCCTCTGAGGGGGCGCAGGGCCCCCAGGTGCTCTGGGCCAGGGTGCATTTTCCACCTCCTGAGATCAAAGCCCCCAGAAGCCAGGGCGCCCCGGTTGGCTCCTGCAGGGACAGCGGGCGAGACTCAGGGTGCTGCGCAGCTACTCTGCCCACTCACTCGCCACCACCCTTAGAGGGGCTTCGTGGTCTGGAGAATGGTCCCCGAATCAGCTATGGCTGAGCGAGTTTCCGCGTCCTGCCCTGGCCTCCGGTCGGGCACTTGGGGTGCGCAGCGGTCAGGGGGCCGGTCTGGCCCGCAGTTCACCGCCTGGAGTGGGGGGAGGCAGACGCGCCATCGGGGCCCACAGCCCGCCGCGCACGGGTTGGCGGTTGGGAGCTGGCGGCTCTCCAGTGGGCCTGGAGTCTGGGAGCGCGTTTTCCACGAAGAAGAATGGGGCGCAGGCTGAGACAGAGACCACTGGCCTTCGCCACTTCGCGCCCAGGGCCGCAGAGCTCACTGGAGCATGGCTGGCCAGGCCCCCAGCGGAAGGACTCCAGGGACCGACTGAGTTGTGCAAGCCACCTCACCTGGCTTTCCTGCTTCGTCCCCAGTCCGCGGAGGGAAGCCTGGGATGTCTGGGGTCAGAGCCGCCGCCGAGGCGAGGGCGCAGGAGAGGGAGGCTGCGCGGGGCAGGGCGGCCTCTCCGCGGGGCGCGCACCGCAACCGGTGGCCTTGGGCGCGGGGGAGCAGAAGGCCTGGGAGGGCAGTTAGGAAACGGAGGAGCTGGGGGACCCCAATTTGTCAGCAGACGCCTCTCAGTCACTGTGGAGTACATACGGGACTCTCACCTCCTGGTCCTGCCGCTGGCGCGCTTGGGGTTCGCCCTTGGAATGCCCCCAAGTAAACCCTACCCAGGCTGCAGGTCTCGGGTTGGATGGGGGACGGCGCCCCCTGGGACGCCTGTGAGCGCTGGAGAGTCTGAGGGGTTGTGGGTGGTTGTTTTTTTTTTTTTTTTTTTTTTTCTTGCAGAAAAAGTCGCCTCCGGGGCAGCGAGGGCTTTCTGTCTGGGCTTCTCTGTCTTTGGGGAAATGCACAGTTGCCGGCGAGGCGGGAAAGGGAGGGAGGGTCCTTGGGGGAATATTTATGGGTCAAATCGGTATCCCCGTTTGGCTACGACAATGGCCGATTTCAAAGCAGATTAGATTACTTTGTGGCATTTCCAATGAAACGGCAATTTCAGAGCCATGAGCACATGGGCGACCCACGCGAGCTACGCGCCGGGCGCTCGCAGCCGAGGCCTCAGCGGCGATTTCCCCTCTGGCCGTTTTCTTTTTCATCGAGGGCACAGAAGGCGGCCTGCGGGGCCCGGAAGGCGACAGGGCGGTCGCTCTGGACTCGCAGGGTCCGGGACTCAGGGGTTCCCCGCGCCCTGTTCCGCGCCTCAGCCTCGGGCGCTGCCATTTACTATTTTTTATTATTTTTATTTCTATTATTCCCTCGTCCAGGTTTAGGAGACGCGTGGGGACAGCCGAGCCGCGCCGGGCCCCTGGACAGCGTCGCCAAGGAGCTGGGGTCGCACTTGCTGCAGGTAGGGACGAGGCTCGGAAGTTGGGGTACCGCCGCAGCCCCGGGTCCCGGCTGCGCCTCCCCTCTGACTCCACCACCCCGGGCTCGAGGTGTCCCTCCCCAAGGAACCCCGAGTAAATCCACGGGCCGCCACCAGGCTGCAGAGGTCGCCCCGAGGCCAGAGGCACTGCGGGGAACTGGGAGCAAGCGGCTCCCTCCCCGCATCCGGGTCCCCTCACCTCGCACCCCAGAGGGCTGGGCCCCGAGTGGACTCAGCTCAACCAGAGCAACCTCTGGCCAGCCCCACCCCCACCCAGGTCCAGGCCTCTTTAGCTCAGGACATCTAGACCGAAGGGCGCCCCCGGGCGTGGTCAAGCCCTGTCCGACCTCACTTCCCCCACGAACTTTCATGGGGCGACTGCTCTGTGCCAGACGCTGCGCGGGGCGCTGGAGCCGGAGGAGGAAGGATCGGAGCAAAGCTCAGGGCGCCCTGAGCCAGCGGGCGGCTGCTCGGAAGCGTCTGACAAACGTGTGTTTAAAGGGGTCGCAAATAAAGGAGAATCAGCATCAGTAATAGAATAAGAGTTGGCGTTACTGCGCCTTTCCCACGGGCCAGATTCCGTTCTAAATCTCACTGTGTCATCTCGCTTCACTACCCCCCTAGAATGGGCTCTATGTTTAACTCCGCTTTTTCGGAGGAGTAAATCGAGGCACGGAGAGATTAAGCAACATGCCCGAGGTCACACAGCAAGCGGCGGAGCCGGGTTCTACCCAAGTGGTCCCGCTCACGACGTGGTGCATTCTTTGGGGTCACCTGGCTCACGAAGGGAGCCGGTGCTTGGTTGGTGGTCAGCCGCTTAGCGCCCCAGCCCGCAGCCGTTCAGTCCGCGGCCGCTAAACCGCCCCTGACCTCGCATTTCCCCGCGTGGTGTCTGGGGCGCGGGCCGGGTAACCATGCGCAGGACCCGCCAGCTCCAAGTCGGTGGCTGGCGCTAGGTGGGGACAGCCATGCCCCGTGTCTCAGAGTCTTTCAAATGCCCTTTACAGAGCTTCATCAACGACCCGATTCATTCCCCCCTCATGTCATTTGTCTCTGCCATCAAAAAATGCCTACCGAGAGCTATTTTGCATTTCCTCCTTCTATTTTGTGTTTTCTTTAAACGAAAAAAAAAAAAAAGTTGGCGGCGGGACGCACTGACTTGGGTCAAAGTCAGCCGCGAGCTCCCCATTTCGAAAAAGCAGATCTTTTCAAAACTCTTGCCTCGAATGTCCCAGTGTGATTTATTTTTTTTAAAAAAAGCGTGCTCTGGGAAAGAGAAGATCCGGGGAATATTTGAAACCCGAAGCGTTTACAACATTAAACGGTGTGTCAGCCGGGCGGGTAATGGCGCTCTTGGAGAACTTCCCGCGCGCCCCGCGCTCCCCCTACGCTCACTTTCCAGCTCTGTGCGCGGTTTTTTGCATGTTAGATACTCCTACAGATTGTAAGTGACACTAATGTCAGGGACAACTAAGTGCCGGGGACTCTAGTGAAAACCCGGCAGGTAAAAGCCAACACCCTCGTTTCCTCCACTGTACATTTCTTTAATTAGTTCGCTGTAGCGTGCGAGTGTCTTTGCATTTAATATTACATGCATGCAAAATTTGAAGCTATGAAAGCATACCCCACATTTTCCTTTAAGAATATTATTTTTAGCTACTGCTGGCAACTTTCAGAATTTGATTATGATAATTTTTCTTTCACTCGTATGGCTCGCCGTCAGATACTATTTCATTAATGTATCTCTTTAATGGTTTTGGAGTTAAGCAAGAATGCAAAATGTGCCAAAACATTTATAACTTTAGAAATCGCTGTATAGTTTATATTTTTTGAAACAGTTTATATTTTTGAAACAGTTTAGCTGGGAAAATATTTTGTAATTGAGTTAGAACTGGGAAAGCAAGGCTTCTCATCAAGATGTTGATTTCAACCTCAGCATGGGGAAGGGAAATGATAGTCTGGTTGGCAAAAAATTTTTGCAGCAAACCTGTATTTGAGACAGCAGAACATAAGGATAACTTTCAAGTTTCACTTCTATACATTCTTTTTAGGCTCCCCTCCAAAGAGGGGGCAGATTTAGAAAAACCAAAGGTAATCTGGTTTCAATTACATGCTGTAAAAATAGAATTTGTGGCCAGAAATTAATTTGGAATATTTTTTATGGGGGTAGCATTGTGGGTTGTATGGATCTTTCACCAACTTTATTGCTTTTCTTTGGTTGTGGATCTAAAATATGAATGGGTAAATAAAATACGGTTTCCTTTTTTTCAAAAAATAATTTAGTTTTTTTATCCTTGCCACACATAAATATAATATGTACTTTTTAATTTGTCTTAATTACCTCTTATAATTTTTTTTGAGGGCCAGCCAACTTAGGTAAAATCAGAATATCATTTAGGTACTTTTAATTTTTTTAGAAATCAATACTCCTTTCTCCTTGAATTTTGCAAAGGTTATTTGATCTCTTGCAAATTCTAAATAATTCTGTAGACATAGTCTGTTCAAATAACTGGTATTTTCTTTTCTGAGGAGCGGTAGTGTTTAGAATTTATTATTCAAAAGGTACTTAGGGGTAACTAGAAAATTGTGGCAAATAAAGCATATGTCCTAGTGGTATAAACACTGCCAATTATGACCTAAAATGGTCTATATAGTGGTAGATTGTCCCCTAAGCACCATAGAACTCCGGATTTGTGCTAAGTGCTAAAATAACCCCAAACAATAAAGCTACTACGTTTAAACTGGGTATGATAGGAATTCTCAAATGTTTTACATGACTTTTGTGATGTGTATGTAAGGCTGTTTTTAAAGTGTTTTAAAAGCATTTGAGAGTCTGGTGCGGGAACTAAACCTTAAATGTTGTAACTTAAATCCTTATGGCCCCAAACCCTGGTGGGTTTTTTTGTTTGTTTTTTTGCATTTGATACATATATGCCGATGATAATATTTCATACATTCCTCTATCCCAGTGGCAGTACGAGGATGAGATTTAACTCTCCATATAACTATCTTTCCTCACCCTGACGCTTTTTTCTTTTCCAGACTCTGGATGGATTTGTTTTTGTGGTAGCATCTGATGGCAAAATCATGTATATATCGGAAACAGCCTCCGTACATTTAGGCTTGTCCCAGGTAAGCTGTACCTAATTTTATGTGCAACCAAAGTATTCAGGGTTGGCAGATCTTGGCGGCCGTACCCAACTTGAAAACGAGTCTGTCCGAGCATCTGCCTTTGCGCGTGAACATAATCCCAAACTGCAAACTCCTCTTCTCAGAGCATCCCGCAGGGCTTTCCTTCTCCGGGTTGCATTTCACTATTTCACTTTCTTTTTCCTCTGGGGCTAATGACCAGTGTATCTTTGCAACCGTCAGCCATGTTCCGAGATGTCGTTCGATAGACGAGACTCTGCTGATACAGTAACGGCACTCGGCCACTAACGAGAGCTTCACAAAGGGAGATTTTTCAGTCCACACTTGCTGGCCTGCACGTGGTATTGTGTGAGTCGCTGTGAAAGCCAGAGGGAAGCTGGTGTAGAACGTGGATTTTGTGCAGAATGTGCTTTGGGGAGAGAGAAGGGGGTGGGGGGTAGATTTATGAGTGTTCACATGGAATTCAGGGTAATTTTTCCTGAGTTTTTCCAGTTCAGTGGTCGTTTCAGTAAAGCATTTTATATGCTTGTGATAGAAACTCATAAAACTCAGTTTACTACTGTTTTGCACAGCAAGGTCTTGGTTTCTTTAGAACATGTAAATGTTACTGATTTTTCTGGAACCATTTTCTCAAAAAGGGTTTATCCTCTAGAGGAAAGAAGTGCACTTGGCTTTATCTGTCTTGGTCCAGCCGAAGGTTTGCTGGAGAATTTGGCTGAATCTGGGCCGGTGGCCGGTGGGTCCAGATGTGGGGAGCCTAACTGATTTTTGCCACTCACATTTCTGATTTAACAAGTGTGGGTCGTGGTTCTAAAAGTCACATTTTTATACATATAGGAACTAAGCGTTTCTTTACATCATGAATTATCAGAGTGCACCTTTTATATCACACTAGGATTAATTAGATACAGGAAATGGGCTCCCAGGAGGCGCGTGAATAATCTGTATTGCACCAGCCTCCTCATGCAGTTAAGCCAAAATAAAACATGCCAATTAATGTGGCTTGGGTTTTCTCATTGAAAAACAATGTTACCAGTTTGGAAACCTGCATCTGATGTATTCCTTTTCTTTTTCTGCCTGTATGTTTTTTAAACTTGCTCTTTGTTTACAACCTTTTCTTCCAATGTGTGTATATCCTAATCCCTGTGCCTATGTGTTTCTGGTGTAAAGTCCTTTAAAGTGAATCTCATATTTAGATTGTTTGGTGTTTTCTTCTCTCTTCCTCTTCTCTTTTATGAAACCTGGTCTCCCAGATAAGATTTACCTAAGGCTTGGCTTTTACACCTATGTGACCCAAGGGATTACTGTGCTTATAGATTGGGAAATACTGTTGGGAACATAAAAATTAGTATTTTTTACATATTTTCCAAAGTTATTATTCTTTGCATTTCCACCTGACCCTATTTAGAATTATTTCAGACCCTTTCGTTGTACCCAGCCTGGTTTCTACTCCCGACTTGGTCTATGGCTGATTGACCTTGATCAGATTACTTAATTCTCAATCATAGTTTATAAAACCTTTGATAGATCTTATAGTAATGTTCCAAACACGACAAAACATTTCACATACTTTTTTTAAATGACTGGTCAAACATATTTAAGAATAGGGGACGTCACTGTTATGGGATATTAAATTTAGAGCTGAGCTTCCTAGCAGTCAAAGCAAAAAGGGAAATACATTCCGTTATATGGTCTTCCTTGTCTGATAGGGCAGGTACATAAACTCCCTGAACTATAACTTAAATAAAAAAGAATGCCTACTCTATTTCTCTTTCAGGATCCTGATAAGAAGCAAATCAAAGTGCCCATTTTATGTAATTTATAAACTATAGGGAGCTACACAAAAGCCAGGCATCACCACAGTTTCATTAGTATTGTACTACAAATAGCACAAAAGTTGCTTCAAATAGCGTCCTTTGGTTGGCACGTATAGTGAGGGCTCTTAGTCATTTGGAATGTCCTGGCACTTCTGAAGGCACTGCACGCACAGCAGGACATTCCAGTTCATTCTGTCAGGCTGCTCAGGCTAGCATCCCATATCTCTCTCTCTCTCTCTCTCTGTCATTTTTATCTTTAATAAGAGCAACCAAAATATCGGAGAGGTGACAACTATGCCTCTTCTTCATGATTAACTCCCCAAAAGGAAATCTAAGCAGAATCATAATTAAAATTGTATTTCAAAATTTTGGTCATAATGCAGAAATAAAACTTCGTATCATAATTTTGAAAGGGGAGGGCATTTTACACTACCAAGAAAGTTACAGAGATGCCTTTCGTCTATATGTTGCCAGAAGTGTCAATTAAAAAAAAAAAGATAAGTCAAACTGTGCAGAAAGACTGATTTTTTTTTCTGATCTATTGGCAGGATTGTCTTAGTATCAGTCCTCAGTTACAAAAACACTTAGATGCAGACTTGAGCCCTGGTTAGAGTCTGGGGAGTTCCATGGTGGACTGTTTAAATAAACAACAACAAACTTTTCCCTCAAGCCTGCTTCCTGTGCACGATTAACCCCACAGAAGGAAATCTAGGCAGAATCACAATGTGTATTTTTTTCTGTCTTTGTTACTTAAATAGTAAAATAAAGTATTGAAAAGGATGTCTAATACCCAACTTCTCTTTAAAAAAAAAATTTTGCACCTTTTAGATTATTTTTATTAGTAGTCAAAAGTCAGGCAAATATATCAAACATGAAACCTTTATTAAAATAAGCCCAAAGATTTTTTTAAATCACAAGAGATAAAAATGTTAATAAAATTATACCCAATAGTTAGAGTAACCGTTAAAACAAGTTTTCTGATGAATAACGATAATACTAATAGCTTATATTTACATAGCGCCCTTCAGTGTTCCAAGAACTTTCAGTTACGCTCAATGACATTATCTCATTAAGTAATGACATCTTTCACATTAATTCAGGGTTAAACTCTATGTTAGCAGCTCCTAGGAAACATAAGCCCCTTTCTAGATTTGTCATGATTGTGTGATAAGTCACAGCAAACGAGTGTTTTTTTTTAAACCTGAAATATCTAAATAACTATCTGAATTATCTATTAGCGAGTGTAAAAAAAAATTATGTGTTATAAGCCCATCTTAATTCAAAGCCTTTTTTAACCTTAAAAAAATAAGCGTTGGAATAAGAAGTCTATTTTATACGTAGAGTTCATTTATGTTTGCTTTTCAATGAGAGATCCTTGATGTCAAACTGTTGTATCAGAAAAATGACAGACGACCACAAAATGCAAGTTGTCTCAGGCCACAGTTCAAGTGTTGGGAAATAGGGTCAAGTGTCTGGCTTGAAAATTTTGTTTGTCGTAAACACATGTACGTAATACATAATAATTCGTATAGACAAATTTCTATTTGGAAGAGGTAGAGTTGGGGAAGCACTCTTTATCCATGCAGGTTTATTAAATGATTTATTTTCACGGGTTTTTTGGTTAATACAATTAAACTTACTTATATTTGAAGAAGAATGAAGCTCTGTCTACCTGCTAAGACATTTTTAAGTCTCCTTGTGGTTTAGATTTCCTTACCAAAGTTGCATACATTATATAGCATCTAGGTAACTAATCTACATTTTCCAGTAAATATAGATATGTACGAAATAACTTATCGTGAGACACAGAGAGGAAAACGACATACTGGAGATTATAGCAGAAGCACAACTGTAAAACAACACGGTGTTGTTTGGGGCCATAAGACCTAATCCTTTCACTTTTGAAACAAAGAGAAAGGATAGCGTTTCATGTTTGTTGACATAACTCGAACCCTGAAACCCAAACCATCTTATTTTAAAATGCTTAATTTACCATAGTCAGCGAAACACCCAAAGCAGAGTAATGTGCGTTTTCAGAGCACTGGGTGACTCCCCGTTCCGACCCAGAATGTATTCATTTAGTGCTGTATTTATCCTGTGTAGTTTTCTTGGCAGGAAGAAAAACGATTCAGAAAAACATAAAAACGCTCTTAGTAGGAAAGCAATTCATTTTGTAGTTACCAGGGTTTTACTAATACTAAAATATCACATCGAGGGCCTGTTTTAATAAGGCTGATGTATGAGACCTGAGGAGTTTTAGAGCCACGACCACAATTTTTTTTTTTGAGATAGCCACATTTCTTTCAGCATTCAAAAGCACGAATAGATATGTAAATACAGGAAACACCATGTCAACCATAATTTTGAGTCAAGGTCAGCACCGTTTTATCATTCCAAAATTTGTTCTTTAAAAACATTTCTGTTGTTTGAAGACTATTTCACTTCCTAGATGGCCTTTGAGTTTTATAATTAAGCTAAAGATTCAGAAAAATCAAGGCTGTGATTCATGGACCTTCAATCTTCATTCTCTGAGCGCATGAGATGAAAATAGGACCTTTGAAAACACATGAAGCGACTTTAGGATCACAACACAAATGGAATCTCTATTAGAACAGAAGTAAGTCTGTTTGCAAGTATATGAAGCTATTTCTCTAAAAAGACGTCAGTGAATTAAAAAAAAAGAAGAAGAACTTGAAGCAAATCAGAATTATCTCTTTTCCCTAAAAATTATATTAAGGAAGAAATGATAAGCCAACACACATAAAAATTCTATTTTGTTACTTTTCATTTTTAAAATAAGTCGTCGAAATTGCAAATCGATTTAAAAAAAATAGCTCCCGTATTTATCAGCCTTTGTCACTCTCCACCTGACAGAGCTTCACAAGGAATCTGTTTGGCTGCCCCCGAGAAAAAAAAGAAATTGTCCTGTCCCAAATGGCTGACTTAAATGTTGCTTAAATGGTTTTATTTCAACTTTGTAAGGATTAACAGCAATGACTTGAAAGAGAATGTTTAGTTTTTGTTACTTATTTTTTTAATGAAATCTTGTCATCGCTTTTTTATCTAGGCAAAAATCCATTTGAGTCATTAGAGAAAAGCGCCCGGTTTTCTAGTGCCAGGTTTGGGCGGTGGGTAGAGGGCATTTCTGTAACGGGATACTCTGCACCGCTCTGTTTGCATAGTATTAGAGAGAGACACTCTATGAATAATGCAGAACAGAGAACAGTGAACGCTGTTTTTAGGGACAAGATTACTTAGCCGGCCAGAAACGTTATTCGTTCTGACTAAAAAGGCAACTCGTCCATCTTAACGAGTTGGAAGAACTGGCTCCGAAGAGGGATAAATTCCTCCACCTCCGCATGGCCCCTTGGTCCCAAGCAAAGAGCTGATGGCCTTGATGCTAATTTGAAACAGTGGAGGAATTCTCCGTTGGACCCTCTGGCTGGGGTCGTCCCGTTGCGTGAGGTGGCACGTCGGGGCTGCCCCTGTACTGGAGATCACATCCTCTCTGCTCTGGTCGAGGGCACTGAGCCTCCTAATGAATCACCCGCTGTGGCACGCTTAAAAATAATTAATAAGGGGGTGGTTAGGGACCAGCCTGCCTTTGCTCCTTAGCTTGCCCTCTGCCCTCAGGGGCAGGGCTGAGCAAGAGCTCTGCAGCCCCACCCGAGGGTCTCTGCTTCTTGCCTTTTGAGTTTCTTCCTACACTGGGCTGTTGGGGTTCCTTCTGGCTGTGATAGAAGTGCCATTCCTGCCTTGGGGAGGCCCCCCTATCAATCCTGGGTGCATTGACTCGATGTCTTCAGCTCTAAAATAGGATCCGCCAACCTCTGCTCAGAAGGCTGCTCTCCGATGGTGGTGGTTTCTAGAACATTCTATGCCGTTGTCCATCGCAAGATGAGTGAGGGAGCCCGGGTCTTGAGACTCTCTCATTCCGTGTCACGGCATTTGTGTTTGGGGAACACAGAAAGCTTCTTGGGGAGAGGAACTGAATCGCTGGGACCTCTGTGCAAAGATCATAATCATAATGACGATGTCTTCTCAGAGCCCACCCCGAGCCCCTGCCCTTGCAAAGCAGAGACCTGTCCAGTGGGGACGTGGCCTGCAGGCCTGTTGAGGTGTCCTCTGTGGGGTGTGTCCGGAAGTAGGTGGTGTCCGAACGCAGGGTCACGTTGCTCTCTGGCGTGAGCCCCAGCCCATCAGGTCACGTAGCCGTTCAGCTGCACCCATGGGCGGGAGCCATGGGCTCAGCACAGCCACCCTGGACTAGGAAGGCCAGAGACACATTGTGGCCACGTGGAAGAGGTGTGGCAGTGCCTGAGGGGCAGAGCTGCCAGGAAGAAGGGCCTTTGTGGCCTGCAAGTTCTTCTTGAGTGCAGTGGAGCCCAGTGGAGCCCTTGGCTCCTGCCTCCCTGCCTCTGAGCAGACGAGGCCGTCCCAGGCACCACATTCTGGGCGTGGTGGCTCGCCTCCCAGCCAGCCGGTCCCCTCAGGAGGCACGGAGCGCGAGTTTCACAGTGTGTCTCCTGTATGAAGGACGCTGCCCAAGCCATTAGGGTCACCCATTTCCACCATCCTTGGCTTTCCAGCCCAGGACTGACCCTCGCTCTCTGGCCTTGCTGGAAAGTGTGAGAGACGCTTCAGGGTGCTGTTTGAGGAAAGACACATGTTTCTGAGCTTGGAGAAAGTGCAGTTGTCAGTGGAGACAGAAGTCCTGTTCCTGGCGGGGGCTTCCCTATGACCCCACCCGCAGCCCCGGGCACCCCAGGAAGGCTTCCTGACCCCTCCCCTCTCTTCCTGTCTGTGGCAGGTGGAGCTTACAGGCAACAGCATTTACGAGTACATCCACCCCTCTGACCACGACGAGATGACGGCCGTCCTCGCGGCCCACCAGCCTCTTCACCATCACCTGCTCCAAGGTATGTATTTCCTCCAGATGAAAAGAGAGCAGAACGAAAACAAGGCGATGCTCTCGCACGTGGCCCAAGGGTGTTGCCTCCCACACTGCCCATGGGAAGTGTGACCAAGGGCTGCCCAGCCAGAGCCCCAAGCAGACACCCAACACCCGCCACGTCCTTTAAAGCAATACTGCCGATCCCCGTCAGGTGCGAGAGGCTGTGATGGGTGCTGGGTGGGGGATAAGTGGTCAGAGGCTCCCCTCCGATGTGCTATGGTTTGGTGTTCCAGAGACACAGGTCTAGGCTTGGGCTTTTTTATTTTTTATTTTTTTATTGGTTGCAAGTGTACAATTCAATAGTATGTCATGTGTATGTTGCATTGCATGTTCACCCAAAGTCCAGTCTCCGTCTGTCACCATATTATTGGATCCCCTTTTACCCGCATCTACCTCCCCCCTCCTCCCTTTCCCTGTGCTCACTGTAAAACTGTTGTCTGTGTCCCTGCGTTTTGGTTTGTTTGTCTTGTTTGTTGGTTGCTTTCAGTTTTATAACCCACTTATGAGCGAAATCATATGGTTTTTGACTTTTTCCACCAGATTTATTTTGCTTAGCATGATATTCTCAAGATCCATCCATGTCGTTGCAAATGGCAGCATTTCATCTTTTCAGATGGCTGAGTCATATTCCATTGTGTATATGTGCCACCTCTTCTCTATCCAGTCATCTATCGAAGGGCACTCGGTTGTTTTCATGTCTTGGCCACTGTGAATAGTGCTGCTCCAACACTCGTTACTTGTCCTGTTGATGACAGCCATTCCAACCGGTGTGAGGTGGTATCTCACGTGGTTTCGATGTGCATCTCTCTAATAGCTAGTAAAGTTGAGCATCTTTTTATATATCTGTTGGCTGTTTGTATGTTTTCTTAGGAGAAATGTCTGTTCAGGTTCTCTGCCCATTTTTTAATTGACGTATTTGTTTTTTTGTTCTTTAGTTGCATGAGTCTTTTATATGTTTTGGATATTAGCCCGGGATTGGAGGTGTCGTTTGCAAGCATCTTTTCCTATTCGGTTGGTCGCCTCTTTGTTCTGCTGATGGTTAGACCTGGGCTCCTTAACCAAAGGGTCCAAGAATAGAACTTGGGGTCTGCGAAACTGCAGGGGAAAACTGCATTTCATCCCTCTAGTGAAAATTTAGCATTTTCTTTGTTTATAGGTTGTAGGCGATAAGCCAGGTACTGTCACTAATACCTTCACTAACTCGAAATTCGAGTTATGAGATCTGCTACTAGATCTCGTTATTTAATGTGTTAATAAAGCAGCACATTTGTAACCACGTCACCACTTGCTTTAATATTTTGATAACTTTTTCGATACATTTGTAACGCATCTATTTGTAATCTTCGATATTTTGTTTTATGCACTTTCAAAAATGTTATTCTGAGTGGGGATCTGCAGGTTTTGTGCCTTGGCACAGACTGGCTAAGAAGCCCTGGTTAGGTGGAGGCAGGTCATCTCCCTGTCCTGGCTCCATCTGGGGACGAGACCCTCCTCCAAATGTCCCATCCTGTCATTTAATACATGTCGATTGGGCCCCTGCTGCGGGAAGCATTGCGTTCGGACAGACGTGGCGTGACTGCTCAGTGGAGGATGTGAAGCACGTCTTTACACAGACGGCTCCTTAAGTGACCACCGTGCTACACGCTCGGAAGACACAGACTTATTCCCGGAGGCCTGGCCTTGCAACCAACCCCCTCTGTCAGGTCAAAGATACCAGCATGTCAACCAAGGGTCCCTTGTCTGCTTTGGACGATGGCATCCTAACTTGGCCAAAATTCCCTAGTGGGACAAAGACTTCGAAGACATCATTTCTAACGGAATGAGAGCCAGGAGAGAACATCTCACTTGAATCTAATTTTTTTCACGGTGGGGTCGTTTAAAGCTGGGCAAAGAGAATTCCTCGGAGCATTGCGTTGTTGCTGTCTAAAGAATTGTGTAGGAGTGGGCTTTCTCCTCCTAGCCCTGGCGTCATCTACCTGTCCAGGGCATAGCGTTAAAAGGGTGTTTAGAAAGTGACAGCAGATGAATCTTGGGACTCTCACCGGCCCCTCCCCCACCCTCACCCCCCGTTTCCATGGGGCTCAAGTCTGAGGTGCAGCAAGTGTACAAGAGGAGAAGTAAAAGGTCCAGGGGCGGTGTCCGGGGGCGGCAGGGTGGCCGCCGGTCACTTCCCCAGCCAGTCGCGAACACAGCGTTGGAGGTCCCCGCGGGCCCAGCTTCTCTCCGACGTCGCGTCTGCACAGCCGGCTTTCTGTGTCGGAACCGGCCCTGTTGCTTTATGGCAGTTGAGTAAGGCACGAGCTCTCCCCAAAACTTGTTCGTTGGTTTCTGGGTGACGTTCCTTAGACCTGAGCATGCTTATCTGGAACTGGTGCAGACAGGCGGGCAGGTCAAAAGGGACCCAGCCCGCTGCCGAGGTTTGCGGGTGAAGACAGCAGCCTCCTCAGCCAGGGAAGGAGTGTCCGAGGCCACCCCCCTCACCCCCACCAGGCAGGGCCCCCAGGGAGGGGCGGGAGGCCGTGCTTCCAGTCCTAGTGGTCACCTTTCTTTAAAAATTAATTTTTTAACCACTGCCAAATGGCTGTTTATTTAGAGTAGAGCGACCTCTCCCTTATCTGGGGCACAGACACTTTGCCATTTGTGCCCCAGAGAGCTGGTGTCACTCACTAAAGCAGAGGGTGTTTCCTTAGGGGACTCATTTGCCTTTGCAGCCTGTGAGGCCTGCCAGAGGAACCAAAGAAAGGCTTTGGGTCCCCCCCGAGAAAGAGCAGGCGGGGAGGGGGCAGCCCTCGAGAGAGGAGGGTGTGGTCCGTCCAGGCTGAGCGGGCCTGTTGGTCTCCGTCCCCATTCCATGTTGCTGGGCAGTCTCGTGCCCGTGGGCACGCTGGCAGAAGGCCCCCTGGGGCGGGCTCCCTCTGCCAGGGAAAGGGGTTACGCGTGTGTGACCTCTCCTCGGTATCTGCCACCCTGTGGGAGGTCAGACGCTTCAGGGCCCTCCTGGCAGGCTCAGGCATCGCTCTAGGGTTGGTCAAGGCCATTCTCCTGGTGCCAGGCCTCTCTGCGGCCACCGCCACAGGGGCCACTGGGCCCACTGCGCATACAGTCCTGACCTTGACCCCAGGGTGGCACCTCCCAAGTTCTTGCCGTGTTTTGGGGCTGCTTTCCTCTGGAGGGCATGGAAGCTTCTCCTCCCCACCGCACCCAGGCGGGGCCACAGGCGAAGCGCTCTGGGTCAGGACCTGGGCTGCTGGGAGGTGGCCGCTGGCTGCAGGATTATTGATATTGTTGAGATAAAAATGGGGACAGCATCGTGGGACAGCTGGCTGATCTAACCTCGCTCCTGCTTTCAGAGTATGAGATAGAGAGGTCCTTCTTCCTTCGAATGAAGTGTGTTTTGGCAAAGAGAAACGCGGGCCTGACGTGCAGTGGCTACAAGGTACGCGGGGGCACGGCAGGTGGGGGGAAGGGGTAGGCGGTGCTGGGTCCTCACTGCTGTACAGCTCACCACACACGCGGCATCTGCAGACGGGGCACAGGGACCCAGACATCTCACACTGCCCAGTGTAGCACTTTCGAGGGACTCTGCTCATGGCTGCTTACGAGATAGGTGTGGGAGCTGGCATCTCCCAGGAGGACTGGATTTGTCCTACGAGACCAGGAATAAACGTGGCTGAGGGTAGAATTCGACCTCGGCGCCCGTAGGTTTTACTTTGCGCACAGGTCAGTCCCACCGGAACAGCCGCCCCTGGAGTCACTGAGACCCGTCTTCCAGGTCAGGATCCTGGGCCAGCAGCCAGCAGTCAGCCCAGAAATGTCGCTCTAAGCCTCCAAATGCCCAGCCAGATCCAGTGCTAATGGTGATGTGCACGATAGCAGGAACGCAGCCCTTTCCGGGTGCAAGGCAGAGCTTTCGTCTGCTGCATCCCATCTAATTTAACTGACGGCCATAGCAGCCCCTTAAGGGGAGCGTCGTCAGCCCCATTCTGTCTCCAGGACATCAGCCGAGAAGGGAGAAGCGACCGGCAGAAGGGCAGGCAGTCTCGGGGGCATAGCCGGGGTCCCTGAGCCCAGCCCTCGCGCCTCCCTGGCTGGATCTCTCTGCCAGACATGGCCGTGTGCTCTGGCTCACCCCAGGATCCAGGAGTAGGTCACTTACAGAGCCACGGGCAGTACTGGGCCTGGACATCAGACTGCAGGGCAGGTTTGGCGAAGTCTGAGCTGAGCGCCCCCCACCTATCCGAGCCCCTCTGGAGCGGCCCCCCACCCCCAGCTGTCTGCAGTTGCTGTTTCTCCCACCTCGTAACCCCTCATGCTGGAGCTGGAGGCAGATGGGGGCCTTGGGGCAGAGGTATTTGCACGTTAGGATGGGAGGGAGGTGGGCCAAGAGAAAGGGGGCAGCTTTGCGCCGCCTCCACTTTGCCCTCTCTCTCCGGAATGCGGGTCTGTTGGGCTCCGACCCCCTTCCATGTTGCCAGGCGGTCTCGTGCCCGTGGGCACACTGGCGGGAGGCCCCTGGGGCGGGCTCGGCCTCTCCCTCCCATCCCAGCGGCTGTGTCAGTCCCACTCGGACCTCCTCCCTCGGACTTGACCTTGCTCTGTTTTACAGTTCGGAGGATGCATTTCTTATTTGCTGTCCAGTCTCTAAGCCTTTTTAGGCCAAGGGTGGGGATGCCCCAATACCATCCTGCACCCAATAGACATTCTTCTGGAGACGGGTCTTGAATTGTTTTTGCCACTTATTAACTGTCTAATCGTAAGCAAAGCATGTCACCCACCTCGTCCTCAGTTTCCTCGTCAGTAAAATGGGAGAATAGACTAGAAGGATTTAAAGATGGGTTCCAGCTCTGAAGACTGGGAGTACGTTCAGGAATCCTGGAGGAATGCTTTTGAAAAGAGCCTTTACGATTTTAGGTGTCGGTCACTGCTGTTACGTTTGTGACTCGTGCCAGAGTTTACCGACTATGACTTGTATAAGTGCTTCCGATCCTGAGCCTCAACACTATCCAGTTTCTCGTGCATGATTTTTGGCTATAACGACTAGAAATGTTTCTGTGTAGCTACTCTGGCTTGTTCCTTATTACAGGGGGATACAATCTTGAATTATAAATAAATAATAAAATAAAACAAAACAAAATAAAAATACATTAAAAATGAAACTTTTTGATGCCATTGAAGAAATTTTGAACTTCCTGGAGCGATTGATATAGCTAGTCCAGTGATGTCAAGGTCAAGTTAACAGGTCAAGTTCAATCCCGTTGGAAGATAAGCATTACAGTTACTGAAGTGAACATTATGGGACAAATGGTCACCTCCCTAAAATGCTTCTGCTGTGCCATCTAACTGCAACTTGGCAATGAGTTAATTATGTATAACTCCGTTACATATTGGAGAGCCTTAACTTGAGCACAGCCAGTGGGTAAGACAGTCCCATATTCTATTATGATAGTGGTTTCTAAGAAAGATCCGCAGTTTTCCTGTCTTTTGAGCAGCGAATCGGGCGTTCGGCTGTGCAGCTCAGTGGAGGCTGGGCTGGGGGTTAGTCCAGCAAGTTCAAGGAAGTGAGCAAGCTCAGAGCCGGGAGGGGTGGGCGCCCGTGTAACCCCTGGGCCTCCGGTGGCCGACCCTGCCCTCTGCTTCCCCCAGGTCATCCACTGCAGCGGCTACCTGAAGATCAGGCAGTACATGCTGGACATGTCGCTGTACGACTCATGTTACCAGATCGTGGGGCTCGTGGCCGTGGGCCAGTCACTGCCGCCCAGCGCCATCACCGAGATCAAGCTGCACAGTAACATGTTCATGTTCAGGGCCAGCCTCGACCTGAAGCTGATATTCCTGGATTCCAGGTGAGTTAGGGACCTGCTGGAAGGTGCTGATGGGGGAAACTGGCCCCCGAAAGCGACACTGTTAAGCCAAGAGGTAATGAGTATGAAGTCACAGGAAGCACGTGAGTTAGAAAGGGACTTAGTGACGCCCAGTCATGAACTGAAAGAATTAGTATCAGCCTTAGTACCCAGGAGCCACCAGCTTCTTCAGCTTATACGTTCCTTAAAATCCTATTTATGTTTTTATCATGTCACTGGAGCAGGAACTGGAAGTATGTGTTGTGGGCACAAGGGAGCTTCTTTTGAAGGCCCATGACGTCAGGATTCTGCCTCGTATCCCCAACAAGTTGGGAGGACTTTCAGACAAACAAAAGTCTTCTGCATTGAGTAGTGTGTGACTCAGGCTGGTGGGAGGCCATTTGAGCTATAAGGGCCACCAGGGCTGAGGCCGCTAGCAGACAGGTAGCCTTCCCTCAGGGGAGGCTCTGACCACGAGTTCAGCGGGTACCGGTCTGGGCCGGGAGGGCGAGGTGCCCAGAACTACCTCTCCCAACTGTCCTTTCCTCTCTTACTGGGGAATCCCTGTCAACCTGACTTCAGAGAGAGTGAGTGAGGCCGGCTCTGGAGGGCAGGTCTGTGCTGGAGTGGGGCTGCAGGCCTCAGAGTCTCCAGGCCTCAGGCCTGCAGGGCCTCTTTGGAAGTTTGTTTTCTTATCTGGCAGAAAAACAATAACAACAATAGCCATGCCCCGCCCGCGCTGCTGCCCCCAGGGCAGTTAGGAAAAATGAAATTAGATAAAAGTCTGATGCACCTGCAATTTGGGTCCTTTTGCCCGCTGGCCTCTTAGAAGATTTATCAGTTGTACAGACAAGAATAAGTGTTTGGAGACCCCACTCCTGACTTGTAGTGCGTGTGGCCGAGCTTCCTCAGAAGGAGAACTCTGTGTGTGTGTGTGTGTGTGTGTGTGTGTGTGCGCGCGCGCGTGTGTGTGTGTGTTTTCTGGATGTTCTGAAGCTAGGATTTATTGTTTCCTTTATCCCTCACTTTTTTTGTGTGGTAAAATATACATAACATAAAATTGATCATTTTAACCATTTATTGAAGGAACACAAATCTACCTGGTTAGGCGTGGAAGGCGAAGACAAAGGTTACTGTAGTTCATCATTCATGCACCACAGAACCTTTCAAGGTAGAGAAATGACGAGGGCTGACGTGACGGGGTCACCGTGATTCTCCCAGAAGGTCACCCCCTGAGGGATGGATGGGATGGGGGCTGTGTTCCTGCAGGGAGAGGAGCTGGTGGGCGGAGGGAACAGGCCATGAAAGGACATTCTTTCTGGATTCTGGACCCCTCTCCAGGCGGGCTGAGGGACGGGCCAGCTGTGCAGGTCGCTGCTGTAGACGTGTGGATGGGTGCGACGGGTTCCTCCCTTGCTTCGTCTCCCAGTTTTCCTTTGGCCATTCCAGCAAACCCCCCGGGACCTAGGGAATTCTGTAGAAGAGGGAAGACGAGGGTCTCCCCGGACGAGCGATTGCCGGTTCAGTCCCCACAGCTCTGAGCTCCGGGGACTTAACAGAGTGGGGTGTGCGAGGCGAGGTCGGAGGCCAGGGTGCTCCTGAAGGGATCTCGGACGCGGCCTCCTCGCTGGCAGGTGTCCCTCTGCTTTACGGTGTGAGGGACGTACCCCGAAGTGAGTAGAATAGAAAGGGGGATGCTCTTGAGGAAGACTTCCTGTCTCCACAGAAGACTCTGCAGCTCTTCCTGCTAAGCATCAGGAAACTTCCAGAAAGTCTTCAGGCTTTTTGGAACTCCAGTCTTCTAGAAGGTGCTGGAAATGCCCTGCAGAAGCCTTCACACTCACTCTGGTCTTCGATCTGCTGCAGCCCGATGGTCTTCAAAAGGTCGCCCGGCCGGAGGACAGAGGGCCTGGGAGGCCAGCAGGCCGCCGGCGGGGTGGGAGATGGCAGCTCCTGCCTCCACACCCAGGAGCCACGGCGAGGGGCTGGCCCGAAGCCCAGCAGCCCCAGAGTCACGAGGGCCGGGGGGCCCCACCCAGCACAGTCCCAGACACGACTGAACTCGGCGTAACCTGGAATTTGGTTCGTCGGGGTTTTGTGGTATTTCACTTTGAAACTGTAGCTGGTGCTTTTGCTAAGGATGGGTGAACTGAGCGATGTTTGGGGTTTGGCACATCCCTCTGACAGGTCGTCAGACACTAGAGGGTTGGAAAAAACCAGGAGGGCGTGCTGCCAAACCCTTCCCTTCCCCTTTAATTTTTAAAGCCGTGTGGACTTTGATGAGAAACTTAATACATGTGTTTCTGATTCATTTACACGTTTGGGGCCGTTGTTCTGAAACCGTTCGTCCGGAGAGTCTGGGGCGCCTCTTTCATCCCCGCGCCGGGGAGATGCCCGGCCTTCTGGCGGGGGAGCCAGACGGCTCGGTTTTCCTGCCACACAGAGCTGGACTCCATCGGGGCCTGAAGTTCTAGGTGGCCCTTAGACGAGTCCCCCGAGCCGCGAAAGGCCCTGGTCTGCGCACGCCCCCGCCTCCTTCCTGCCCTGGACGAACACCATGGAAATGTGTGCAGCAAACGGAGGGAAGTACGAGGCCCGCGCAGGACGCGGCAGACGGGGGCGCGTCGGGGAGCGCGAGCGAGGTCGGGCTCACGCTTCAGATCTGGACCGGCAGGGCTGCCAGGCCAGGCCGACCTCCGTCCTCTGTCCCCGCTGACTCTGACTGTGGCTTCGCCGCCTCTGGAATCCCTTCTCATCCTCCTCTCTCATCTGTTCTTAACTCTCTGTCACCAAGACATTTGGGCCACCTCCTCCAAGGGCACGGCTCCCAGTGCGCTTGCCAGGTGCAGTCTCCACCTACAGATGGAGTGAGCCAAACGCCGGTGACAGTGTGGTCTTGGATGTGAAGAGCCACTTTTTTCAAAGAGGTGAAGTGGGAAATTAACACGCTTGGAGCTCAATGAGGATGGAGAGAGGTCACGTCACACAAGCACCGGGAACATGCGGGGGTCTGAAACCATCCTCCCCCCCTCCCCAATATGAGGCCGAAGCGTTTCCCGTGCGTCCCCAGCTCCCGCCAGTAGAAATCTCTCAGCTGTGTGTCGTTCTGAGGCCAACTAATTAACAGCATCCAGGGAGGGACCGAGGTGTAAAGGCTCATGCACCCAACGGCCGAGATGTGGGGACGACCCAAGTGCCCGTGATCAGATGAACAGACAGACAAAATGTGGCGTCTGCACACAACGGAATAGTGTTCACCACAGAAACGATGACAGTCGACACGCACCGCGACCAGCGGGGATGGACCTTGACAACACTGTGCTGAGTGCAAGAAGCCAGACACGGAAGGGCGGATACCGCATCATTCCGCTGAGACGCAGTATCTAGAACGGAAAAGTTGTAGACACAGAAAGCAGACAAGGGTCGCCGAGGTGGCGGGGGAGAGAAACGGGGGGTTAGTGCTTAACAGGGACACGGTTTCTGTCCAGGGGGATGAAAAAGTTCTGGAAACAGACATGGTGATGCTTATACAACGCTGCAAATGGAACTATTGCCACCGAAGGGTACACCGAAAATGGTTAAAATGGTCAAGTTGAGGTTATGCATATTTTAGCACAATAATTTCTAAAACGTGTCACACAGGACTATCCCACAAAAGCTCCCGAGCGTGGGTTCCGTCTCACCTCTCCTCCAATATCAGCATCTGAGTTCACTCTGAAGGGCCGTCAGATAAGCTTCGCCTTGCGAAGGGGTAGGATGCTAAGCCGCCCCAAACCTTCTTCCAGCCGGCGGTCAGAGAACACGCTCCCCGAAGTCCGCTGCATCCTGCGCTGGGCTGGACTTCAAAGACTTTCTTCTTGCAAAAAAAGATCATTCTTAGTTTCCAAAATCAACATTCCCCCCGGCCCCGGCCTTTTAGCACTTGATTAGTTGGCAAAACCAATATTAGTTTAAATGAAAGGCAATCTGCAGAGCGGCGTGACTCACGGAGCCCCCGTCCTCCCCCAGGGTGACCGAGCTGACCGGGTACGAGCCGCAGGACCTGATCGAGAAGACGCTGTACCATCACGTGCACGGCTGCGACGTGTTCCACCTCCGCTACGCGCACCACCTCCGTGAGTACGGTGCTCGCCCGGGGCCCTGGGCCGCGGCTCCCTCGCGGGGGAGGAGGGAGGAGGGGAGCCCTTGTTTGGGGCGATCATCGTCCATCATGTGCACTTGGACCGTAAACCTCAGGCGTGACTCCATGTGGCCTTTGACTTAAGCGCGGCTACTCGCCGTCCATCCGCAAACATCCAGTGAAGCTGGCAGGTGTGGGACGGTGCCGAGGTGCCGGATCCGAGGTCACGGGTTTGGAACCTAAGTGTCTCTGTGACATCCGGACACCAGGGGTGAATAACGGTGACAGCAGCCGAACCGATACAGGACCCTTCCTGCTGTCGGGCATGAGTTTAAGTGATTAAATCTATAATCGGCCCAGTGAGGGAGCTTCTCGTGTCTGTGATTCTCCTTTTCCCGCTGAGGATGCTGAGGTGCAGAGGGTTTAAGCCACTTGCCACAGTCACAGAGCAGGGAGGTGGCAGGGCTGGGGGCTGAACCCACACGGCTGGGGGAGCTCGGGGTTTCCGGGATGGGGGAAGTCTGCGTGGAAAGAGCGAACAAACGGCGTTCGACTTGCCAACGGATGCAGTTTGGGGAACGTTTGGATTGGGGGGGAGGGGCTGCTCTAGTCACTGAAATGCCTAAAGAAGTGACCCTCCTGAGTCCAAACTGAGGCCGCAAGTGCTTGGGAAGGAGAAGAAGGCCTCGTCCCCGCCGCCCGGCCCCAGGGTGCTTCTTGGCGGGTGCAGATGGCTGGAGGAGCCAGACCTTCTGCAGCGCAGCCCAGGGGGCAGGTCCTCCGTGCCCGCTGTGCTCTGTGCTGACTCAGAGGCGTGAGCGTCGCGTTCCAGGGGGACGGCAGGCCCAGAGACTGCTCCGCACGCGGCCGCAGGGCCTGCCCGGCCGGTCGGTGTGGACGGGGACCGGTGAGCGTGGCGGTTACGAGGGCGTCCCTGCGCCCCGTGCCCGAGTCACTCTGGGCCTAGCCCTGTGACCACCGGGACGCTGCAGACCTGGACGGCTTCTTCCCGCTGCTCTGAATTCACAGCAGCGTGGAAAGGTCTCTGTGCACAGAGAGGCTCGGCATCTTGACGGCCTTTTTATTTCCTTTTTAAAAAGTGACTAAATCATTATTTCATATCAGCATCCTCGTTCTCCTTGAGATCAAGCCTGGTAGGGAAGCAGCTGCCAAGTGTCCGGATGGGGTCAGCCTGTCGACGTCGACAGAGCACTGGAGGGGACAGACACCGGAGGGGGCAGATACCACAGGGGCCGGAGCACCGGAGGGGACGGAGCGAAGCTCTGAAGTGATGAGGGTGACCGGGAGACAGCGGAGGCATCTGCCCGGTGGGTGTGGAGCGACAGTGTGCACCCCACAACAGTCTGGAAGTGGGGGCCAGGCTGGGGAAGGGAGAGTAAGCAAGTATGAGCATCCCCAACTCCACACCCACCTCAGCCCCCGGACGGGACACCCCCACTACTGCTGGGAGGAGCGAGCGGGCCTGGGGGGCTCGGAGCCCCCTCCACTGAGGCAGGAGCATGTTGGGGAGCGGATGATGAGCAGCAAGCGACTTGAAAGCAAACCCCTGCATTCCACGCAGGAGGAGCTCATCAAAGCGGGGCTGCCGGGTGGCAAACGGGGCCGCTGAGCCCGGAGAGAGCTGAGGAGTCAAAGTCTCTGCTGTGAGTGCCACCGCTCGCCTCGCGCGCTGCCTGGCGTTCCAGCGGAAGCGAATGCCGTGTGTCTCTGGAAACGTAACGAAGGCCACGGGGATGACCAGCGGCGGCTCCTGTGTCCCCACACGGACTGGACGCTTTTCTCGAGTCGACTGTGACTTTTGGGCCACGTGCGGAGCTGGGCTGCTCTCGGGCCCATTTCCCAGGCGAGGTGCTCCTCCTCCTCCTCCGAGCGGCTCCTCCAGGGAGCAGCGGAGCCGGGTGCTGAGAGCCGCCCGTCCTGCTCTCACGATGGGCCTTAACCTGGGAGCCCCAGGCTTCCCCAGCTCGTGGGCTCACCAGCCCTACAACCAACGGGCTTTCATTCTGTCTCCGGCCGTTTGCCCGGCAGCTTCTCCTTCCCTCGCTAGGAATCTGGAATCTTCCGGATGTGGAAGGAAGGCTGGACGCGGGCGTCCCACCCACAGCGGAAAAGGCAGGGTGTTCAGATGTGTGGAAACCAGAGGGGGCGCGCCCTCTTTCGGCAAAGGGGCTGGAATTAGTAAATCAAAGGAAACCGGGAGGAGCAGTGTTGACGATGACTGCCACAGTGCTGTGACTCTGACCTTAAGGGACCCGAGGCACAGAGCACACCCGGCCAGGCCAGAGGAGGCGGGTGTGGCCTCAGGACCCGCCACGAGCTCCCAGAGCTCAGCCTCGGCTCCAGCCTCGGAACCACTTCAGGTGTCTCCCCCAGAGCAGCCACGGCACTCACCTGGACATTTCTTTCTCCTCCAGACCTGGAACTTTCCGAGAAAGAAAGGGAAGACAGTGTCCTCCCCCGGCCTGTAGACGGCCACCTTCTCGCCTTGTCCCCACGTGGTCTTTCCTGCTAACCTCTCCCTGTAAAGACGCAGTCTGATAGAATGAAGACCCACCCTGACCCCATCTTTCCTAAAGTAGCTCTTTGAGGGCTCTGTCTCCGGACGCAGCCCTGTCCTGAGGTACCGAGGGTCACGGCTTCAGGGACGTTGGGAGACACAGTGTAGCCCATCACGGGGACTTTCTTTAACGTCGTGTCCTCGCCCACATGGTAGACACAGGTCCTTTCACACACTTTAACTGGACAGGTTGGGTTGGGGAGGACGGGTCAGAAGATGGAGCGGGTGGGATGTGACATTTCGAAATGTGACTTTTCAGTCCCGTCATGTGGGGCTCTGGTGACTGACAGCAGGGCTCAGGGGCCTGGCCCCAGGGGAGGGTGGTGGGGCAGGGGCTTCCTCCTCCAGCCTCCTGCCCCCCAGGTGCCACCTGCTCCCCAACAGTGGCCTTTGCCAACCTGGGACTTAAGTCCTTCCATCCAGTCCCATCTGGAGGTGGCCGGGTGGTCATTAAGAACACAGCCATACGGGGCAGCCCTTGCTGCTTCCCTTCCATCCCTCACAACGGAATGTGGCTGGAGGTGGCCGGCGACCCACACCTCTGGGCCCGTGAGGACTCCAAGGCCACAGGGCGGGCCTCGCCGCCTCCTCCTGCAGCGAGGTATCAGACCATCTGACTTCACCAAGCACAGGAACAGAGCAAACGGCTGCCAACACCCAGGGCCAAAGTGAGGTCACCGTCTGATTTTCCAAGGCCAAGCCTGCTCCACACTGGTGTTCACACCCCAGGACTCTCTGGTGATGGGCGAGGGGCTCTGCCGGACGTGACTGGGCGTGAGGATGCGATGGCTCTGGGGGAGCCTCGTCAGCCAGGCGGTGTTTGCGCATTCTTCATGACGTTGTCGTAACCGGGAGCAGGAGTCCCAGGGTCTGAAGAAAGCACCGCCCCTAGCGAAAGGGGATTCAGCACCTTCACGAGGGGAAGCGGGGCTGGGCCGCGCAGCCTCCGGGAACGCAGGCTTCCCAAGGTCAGCTGGGGGCTGGCGCCTCGTCCTCCAGGTGGGTCGGCGTGGGCCCGGGCATTCCCGGACGAGCTCTCCAAGTCGGATGTGCCAGGGCTTCCCCCGGAACCTTCTGCAAGGAAAAGGGAGCATGGGACCCTTTAGGGAACATCTGACCCTCCCAGCTGTTCCCCACTGGCAGCCCCGCTGAACGCAGGCCCAGGGCAGGGGGCCCAGGGCTGGGGGACCCAGGGTGGGGGGCGCTCAGGGCAGGCACAGCCCCTTCCATATGGTCACCTGGCCTGGGAGAAACACCGCCCCCCGCCCCAGCAGGGGGCCGCCTCCACTGTCTCTCTGCTCTCTGTGAAGTGTTCAGGAGACTCCTGGTTCTTGGGGAGAGCCCGCAGCGGCCTGTGCTCTCCGGACCCGTGGGTCCTGGGGGTGTGGGTAAACTCAGCCATCTGTGTCGAGGGACACCGGGCAGACGTCTTGAGAACACCTTGGTTTGGAAGAACCGTGATGTCAGTCTGGCTGTTCATCCTGGGTAGCGGAGAATCTCGCCTGGCTCTCTAGGAAGGCCCCGTCCAGACTGGGCTAAGCCCAAATCCGTGAGCACACAGCTGGGCCCAGCGAGCAGAACATTTCAGTGCCACAGAAAGACTTCGAAGCCCGAATCCGTGGTCCCCAAAGTTCAAGCAATAACTATTATAACAAAATTATGAGACGGCTGGTACAGACCAGGGAGAACACGCTCCAGATGACATACAGGAGTCACAAACTCAATTACTTCCAGGGCCGGGCATGTACCGTGAGTGTATGGTGGGCTGCAGGGAGTGGCAGAGTTTGTGGCTAACTGGACATCACGTGACCCGTCAAAGGCATTCTAAGTCACAGCACTATGCCACCAACAAAGCCTACCTGTGGACCAGTGGGTGCTTGGGTATCCATTTGCAACCACTCAATAGCACGGCTGTGGAACCTGGACAAAGTTCTCGAAACAGAAGATGAGTTTGAAGGGCGTTTCCAGGCGCCGTGAGGAGTCGTGATGGGCGTTACACGGCGTGGTAGCTTCCGCTGCTGGCCCTGCCGGCCTCTGGCCCGGAAATGGACGATGGAGTTTAACTTACCTGAAGATCCTTTTTAGATGCTTTCTCTGAGCAGAGTCTAGAGGCGGACGAGGCTTGGTCTTGCTGACGAAGGTGTGGGAGCCTGTACGCTCCAGGGACCATGAGCAGTGAAACAGGACGTCATCCCGGGCACGTTGCCTTGATCCCTGGAAGCAGCTCTGGACGTTCATAGTCATAGATTGTCCCTCTGCTTGTGACAAAGGGGACTCGAAGGGTCAGGCTCAGCCCATCTTCCACGGTCGGTGTCACTTTGCAGCTGTCCCACGATGTGGCCATGTGGAAACTCCTCCTCAGAGAGCCAGGGGACGTCCCATGTCTTCTCACCGGCACGGCTGCCGCGGGCAGCAGGCGCAGAGCGGGGCATTGTGTGGGGCCCCACGAGCATGCTGGAGGCCCGCTCCCCAAAGGAACCCGTGGCGGGGCTTCAGACTCACCGACTGTGCTCCCTCTGAGGCCCCGCCTGGCAGACAAGAGCCGGGAGGAGCACAGGGACTGAATCATTGACTTTTTTTTTCCCATGGCAGGTGGTTTAGTTTCCAGGAGCTGCTATCATAAAATACCCTGAACTTTGTGGCTGAGAACAAGAGAAGTCTGTCTCACAGTCCTGGAGGCCAGAAGTCCCAAAGTCAAGATGCTTCCTGTGGGGGCTCGAGGGAAGAGTCTGTCCTTGCCTCCTCCAGCTCTTGGGGGCTGCCAGCATTCCTTGGCTCGTGGCCACATCGCTAACCTCTGCCTCCATCTCCCTCTGCGTGTCTGTGCCTTCTCCTCTGTCTCTCATAAGGACATTTGTTGTTAGATTTAGCACCCACTCTAATGCAGGACGATCTCATCCTTAACTTAATCCCATCTACAAAGACTCTCTGCCTAAATATGGTCACATGCTCAGGTTTGGAGGGCTAGGATGTAAAACATATCTTTTGGGGGGACACTATTTAAGTATTTAACAGGCACTTTTGTTGTCCTTCTCAGCTCTTAAAGTTCAAAACAGAAACAGAAATAATGCTTCAGGCCAAAATCGCTCTCCTCCCAGAGGCTGTCCCCTGGTCACGGCTGTGCCTCCAGGTTCCGGAGGCACCAGGAAGGCCACCTACCTCTCTGGAGAGCACATGTATGGAACTAGACCTTCCATCCCAAAGAGGCCTCGGAAAACCATGACCACTGGCCTTCACGCAGTCATAGGTCGCCCTGATGCTGGAGACATTATGGCAAAGGTGGGGCCTCTGCCCTCAAGAGCTTATGGTTTAGGGGACATCTTGCTGCCTGTCCTCCACCACCATAAGCAGGGCCGTACTCCATATTGCTCTAGGCTGGGATCATTTCTGGCAGTTAGTTGTGAGGACGACAGATTGGACGGGGAGCCAGTGCAAACCGAAGAACGTTGTGACTAAATGTCTAGGATTTCAGCTTGGATCGACATGTTGACTGTGTCCATGGGTCACACCAAAGCAGGAAGGAAATTTCTGCATCTGCGTTTGGCCTCTGGAGCTAAGCCTCCTCGTCGCAGAGCCAGGAAGGGTCAGAGATGATAAAATCGGCCTCACTTCTGCCGTCTGAGTCCTAATATAAAATATTTGGAATAAACTGGTTTTCTTTTGTCCAGCTCTAAGATGATTGCAGATAGGTTTCAGGAATGTGGTAAGAAATACGAGGAGGTATAAAATATAGGGGAAGTATGCGGTCATTATCCTAGGGGCTTTGCGAACGCTGCTAGAGATTAACAAGCATTTCTCTCGAAGAAAGAATGACCTCTTGGGGAATCCGTAGCTGGGACCTCACTTTGGTTGTGTTGCATCTCTTTGGGGGCCATAAGCAAATTGTTTAGCTGAGTCACCCCGAAATGTTGGCCCACCCCCACCCCATCCCCATCTATAGTTCCCCCTTCTCCCACAGTGGCCACTCTGAGAAATGGGAGTTGGAACCCCTGGCTTGGGCCCCCACTGTGTCTTCAAGCCTTGTGGGCCCCAGTTTCCTGGTGACGCCCACCTCCCACAGTTGTAGTGGGGGTAAAATGAGGCAATGTATGCAAAAATGCATCTACGGCCATGCTACCCTGAACATGTCCGACCCCGTCTGATCTCGGAAGCTAAGCAGGGTCAGGCCTGGTTAGTACTTGGATGGGAGACCACGTAGGAAGACCAGGTGCTGTAGGCGTAAAAAAATAAATAAATCAAAATAAGGGATTAGAAGACCAGGTGCTGTAGGCGTAAAAAAATAAATAACTAAAAATAAGGGATTATAAGCTCACAAGGTCCTTGCAATCCGTGAGGTCAACCAAGGGTTGCCTCCTCGAAAAGAGCTAGAACCAGAACCCGTGTCTTGTTGTTTACAAAGGCAAACCCCCAAAGGAGAAGCAGTGTAAAGGCTCCTACTACTTCCATCTGCACCCCTCAGCACAGGATCTCATTAGTGCCAGGCGAGTCCAGCAAGGTGCAGATGCTAAGCCTGGGCAGGAAAGAGCGGATCCCTGCGCTGTCCCAGAGACGCCTGCCTCTCCGGCTGGAGGCGCTGGCTACGCAGCTGGACCACCACGCTAGCCCCACCACACTAGTCCCCAGCTTCATCCCTCGGGGGTGTGGGGCCTGATCCACGTTCATTTCCACTTCTCGACCCCCATACAAACTGCTTGCCCACGGACAAAATAACTAATTTTTCATTCTGATTATAAAACGAATACCTCCTCATTGCTGGAAATGTGGAAAAATCAAGGGAAGAAGATGAAAACTACTATTTTATCAGTCTGAGAGTAGCAGAGTTAGAACATACTGAGTGAGGCCTTCACCCACGTCTGCCACTGTTAGAACCTTCACATGTCTAATCCTCATGACCAGAAGGTGCAGGGGCTATACTTACCCTCTTGTTACAAATGAGGAAACCGAGGCACCAGGTCACGTGGCGCGTGTGCGTGCGTGCACACTTTTACATCATTAGGATTTTATTCTGTGCAGTTCTAAATCTTGTCTTTCTTTCATTTACCATTATGTCGTACATCTTCCCCATAATACTACAAATTCTTATTAATCATCAGATTAATGGCTGCAGAGTACTCTATTATTTATCCATCCTCTTCCCAGGTATCGGTCAGTTAAGTCTCCCCTCCCCTTTTTTCCTGAATTATAAGCAGGGCTGCAAGGAATCTCTTTGTACACGAGTCTCTGTTTGCATTTCTCATAATTCCCATAGGACCAGTTCCTAGACACGAAATCGGGGTGTCAGTAGCTGTGAGCTGTCAAAATGCTTTCCAGACGGACCACACTAATTCGTGCTTCAACAGCACATGGGGTGCCTCCCGCCACAGATCAGCCAACGTTGCTGGTCACTTCATTATTTTTTTTAGAGATAAAGTTCACACGATGTAAAATTCACGGTTTTAACCACTGTCGGTGGTTTTCAGTATATTCACAGTGGCGTGCAGCTATCACTTGATCTAATTCCAGGACGTTTTCTTCATCCCAAGGAGAACCTGGTCATCAGCAGTCACATCCAGCCCCTTCCTCCTCCAGCCCGAGGCAACCGCTCTCTGCTCTGTGTCTCTCTGGATGTGCCTGTTCTGGACATTTCCTATCAATGGAATCATGCAATATTTGTGTCTTTTAAAATGTCTGCTGAGTTGGTGGGTGGTACCTAACGCTGAGTTAAACAAATGAGTTGAAATGTGTTTATCTTTCATGTGTTTTCTTTGACGAGCTGTTTGTTCATGTCCTTGGCCCATCCCATGTTACTTTTAACGTCGTCGTGTTTTTATCGACCTGTTTGAACTCTTTATATATTAAGGCTGATATAATAATAACCCCTCGACTAGCCCGTTGGCAGCGGTTTTTCTTCTGCGCCAGAATAATTTGTTGCAGGTGTTAAAGTGGAGGATAAGGATGAAAAAAAAAGTCACAGAAGGCGACGGATTGCCCAGGGAAAGTTTGGGGAGAGGGAGGGGCTCTGCCCACTGGGAAAACGTGAGGGCTGAATTTCTGTGTCCACGAGTCTCCAGGGCTTTCCCTCAGCATCAGCTACTGCAGTCACAGAATATGGCCACCTCCCGGATTCCTTGCTCCGAAGGCTGCTAGTTAGAG